CAGGAGATCGAGACCATCCTGGCTAACAGAGTGAAACCCCGTCTCTACTAAAAAATACAAAAAACTAGCCAGGCGAGGTGGCGGGCGCCTGTAGTCCCAGCTACTCGGGAGGCTGAGGCAGGAGAATGGCCGGAACCCGAGAGGCGGAGCTTGCAGTGAGCCGAGATCCGGCCACTGCACTCCAGCCTTGGCGACAGAGCGAGACTCCGTCTCAAAAAAAAAAAAAAAAAAAGAAACAGAAGATATGTTTTAACTCTGCCTTTTCTAGAAGAAGATATGTTTTAGGTCAGCCTCTTCTAGAAGGGGAAGAGATGTTTTAGATCTGCTTTTTTCTAGAAGGGAAAGATGTTTTAGATCAGGCTTTTCTAGAAAGGGAAGATAAGCTTTAGATCATGCTCTTCTAGAAAGGGAAGATACGTTTTAGATTTGCCTTTTCTGGAAGGGGAAGGCATGTTTTAAGTCAGGCTTTTCTAAAAGGGGGAGATATGTTTTAGATCTACCTCTTTTAGAAGGGGAAGATACATTTTAAATAGATATCTTGTAGAGGGAAAGGTATGTTTTCGATCAGACTCTTCTAGAAAGGGAAGATAGGCTTTAGATCTGCCTGTTCTAGGCTGGGCGTGGTGGCTCATGCCTATAATCCCAGCGCTTTGGAATGCCAAGGCAGGTGGATCACCTGAGGTCAGGGAGACCAGCCTGGCCAACATGGTGAAACCGCGTCTCAACTAAAAATACAAAATTAGCTGGGTGTGGTGGCGCGTGCCTTTAGTCCCAGCTACTCGGGAGGCTGAGACAGGAGAATTGCTTGAACCTAGGAGACGGAGGCTGCAGTGAGCTGAAATCCCACCACTGCACTCCAGCCTAGGCAACAGAGTGAGACTCCATCTCAAAAATAAAATAAAATAAAATAGAAAATCTGTCTGTTCTAGAAGGGGAAGGTACATTTTAGATCAGGCTCTTTTAGAAGCATAAGATATGTTTTAGATCTGGTTTCTCTTAGTACGGAAAGATAGTTTTAGATCAGGCTCTTTTAGAAGTGGCAGGTGGCCGGGCGCGGTGGCTCAAGCCTGTAATCCCAGCACTTTGGGAGGCCGAGACGGGTGGATCACGAGGTCAGGAGATCGAGACCATCCTGGCTAACACG